CCTTTAGTTCATGGACTTGCGATTCGTATGTACTCAAAGAACAGTGTTGTACGAAACGGAATTACAAAGAACAACGTTCCAGGAACTATAGTTCATTTTGGCAGGAATGTGGTAACGACACCGTTACAGTCAGGATTGGTGGAACTAATTACGTTTACGAACCAACGGTAGACGAAACTGCGTTTCTTCTGTTAACGTTCTACGAAAATCAACAGGTCCGCGCACATACTCATGCAGCACATCATTCAGAACAGGGAGGATGGCAGACCGCATCTGTCACAAAATTGTACCACTCGCAGGTCACGCGTCTATTCTACATCTTGGTTTTACTTCAAGGCGACCGCCGGAGTTGCAGGCAAGTGAGTGACGCTGAGACCAACCGCGTGCGAAAGGGACTGCTGTTTTTTTTTTTTTTTTACAGCAGAGCTGCTACGCTTCATGTTCGCCGTCTGTGTTAGAAAAACAAATCATCATCATCATGAACCATTCATTCTATTCTTCTCCTGCATCGGTTCCACGAAACGTGCGTTGATCGGTCTCGGTCGGGATACAATAAATTCCGACGGCCGAGGAAACGAGTGAAGAGAGCGTAAGAAAGAAAGATATGGCGACGGAAACTTCTTGGCAAAAAAAATCGGCCCCGTATCTGCATGTTTCACTGCAAATGTCGTCGAAAAACGACAGTCTTGCGTGTGGAGAGAGTGAACAAAACGTTTATTTGATGTTCTGCGCGAGCAAATCGGTGAATTGTATTCTGGAAGTGCTGCGTTAGAGAGTCTTGATAGGTGCAGCGAAGGCGAGCGAGCGCATCGAGGCACGTTGAACACGAGCGCTATCTGGCAGTGATCTGGCAGGTATCGCGGGAATGTTGCCTAATTGGGTATGGTTTTGGACTGTTTGATTGTTATTCTGTGTTTATTATAGCTATTTATTGAATGAAGGAGAAGTGGAGGCAAGGGGTGTAAAATTAATGTGCTTCTGTATTGACTGATGCCATCGTTGTGTTGGATGGAGGTGAGACGCCTTCGACTGAATTTTGAACGCACGCTGCGCCACTTATACACACGGTTTTCCGCAGCAGCGAAGGGGCGCTGCCACGTTTGAACAAGTGATTTATGGCCTTCTCCTTTCCACTTCACCGTCAACGACAGCTGGCCGATTTGCCTCGCCGCCTGTTTCTCGCCATAGGCTGCAGGGCAACGTGTGCCACATGCCACATCGCGGCCGCGCTGCCGCAGAGAATTCCATGGCGCTTCGGTTCGGTGGGACCATCTAATTTTCCTTAGAAAAAGTAGTTGCGGAAAATCACGGCCGGCTGGATCGGTCCGCCCGATCCAGGCGGCCGTGGGAAAATTGTCTATACACATCGCCCGCGTTCGAGGCAGACGAGATGAGGCACGAACCGAGCCGAGCATGCGCAGTAGGAGGGTGGACGGCGCCGACGCCGAAGATCGTGCTACGAAGAAATGCTCCGCATTCAATATCTTAAGCGCGGTATCCTGACCGTTTCTTTGGAGACCAACTTAGAAAATACCACTAGTGGTACACTTGAAATTCACGAGCACGAAAGTTGCAGTTCGACAAGCTTGTGTTATGGGCTGATGGTCTTCGAAAAAAATTTGTCTCAGAGGGTTTAACTAAATTACTTTTACCTACGTATAAGCAGCTGTCGGTGATTTCAAACTTGTATAACCTATGTAGCGTGATGTTAGCTTTGAGTTTCTTTCTTCATTTCGCTTCAGGATTATCGAACAAACTTTTTTTATTGAAATGTCAGACGTAACGTGCATGTAACCTGTTCATACACCGCTACTCAAGAGCCCCGATTAATGGCAGCGAGCTGGCTTTGAAGAACGTGACAATGCGATGAACTTTAAGCCGATATTTGACCGCTTCTTGTTGACCTCTTGTTCTGCCGAGTTAATATGTGGCTTGCGCGTGACATCATTGACTCACAATATGGCTCCAATATGGCAGCTTAGACGACATCAATAGAGTGTAAGCACGAGGTGGCTGACTTGCTTCACTGTGATAACAACCTCACTGGAACGTAATTGGTCCTGTGTGCGTGCATAATGAACGAACAGCATGTGAGGCACTGAGAACATTAAAGTAACCCCACTAAGTTGGCGTACCACCATGTGGGTACACCAGCGAGGCTGTTTGACTGACGTCAGTGCAAGCTGTCGATACCTTCTTTTTTTGAAGACTTTACATAAACCTGCGCCTTGATATTGTTACGCATGCCTGGGAAGAAAACGAAGATGGCTGAACATGCTGGCTGCCCCAAGCTGGAGGAAGAAAGAAGACGACGACGCTGCGATCATCAACCTGTTGGCCGCTCCGGCGCCTTTCTTCGCGACCAAAATAAACGGCCCCCTTCAGCCGTATACGCCCTGGTCCTCCTTGTGCGTAACAATATTTTGCGTGTGTGCAAGGAAATATAACTGAATTTCATCACTCCCACACAACAAATCTCGGTGAATGGCACACGGCAAAAGCTATTTGGCAACAATCTGTTGCAGTCATAGTTTATTTTAATTATTGGTATTGACAGCAGAAGGCTGGGAAAGCTTATACTGACCCTCAGATAAGTAAACTTTCAGAGTACAGCAAGTTTTCCTGGTATGGTAATCATTCGGCACGTGAACGGAGGAAAGAAACTTCGAGGGCTCATTTCTATCATTTGACTTAACCTAGATAAGACCAGCCAATAACGAAGCCAAGGACGGCGTGTGGGAGGTAAATTGTACGGTTTTAAATACATTGCAGCAATAGAAACAGGTGTGAAGAAAGTAAAGGGGACAAAAATCGGCCCTGTATCTGCGTGTAATCTGCAAATGTCGTAGAAAGACGATAGTCCTGTGTGTGGAGAGAGTGAAAAAGACATTTATTTGGTGTTCTACGCAAGAAAATCGGTGAATGGTACTTTGGAGGCGCTGCGTTAGAGGGCCTCGAGCGTGCAGCGGAGGCAAACGAGTGCATCAAGTCACGTCACACGTGAGACATGAGCGCCACCTGGCAGTCTTCTTTCAAAACGAAGCGCGTGGCTCTGAGACGGGTGTGCGCGCCCGTCTCAGGGGTGATAATGTGAGGAACGCAAGGCGACGAGTAGATGCCACCACCATCGCGTCTTAGCAAAGCGTTGGAAATACTCACTCTTTCGTGCAAGCGTTGCATGGTCAGCGCAGCGTGGAAAGCGCTATGGTCCTAAAAATTACTTATGTATGAATTTTCTAGTAAAAGATGCACATGCAGAATATATATGTGTTGTTATGGTGCCACAGACTTGCGCAAAAATTGCTTAATAATTGCCAATTGCACAAGTATGAACGCTAAATCTTGAGCAACATTGGTTGGCGCTGCGGATGGGGTCGACCGTTTCAAGTCGGTGCCGTTACGAGCAGACGAACAGACAAATGTACAGACAGACAGACCAAAATTTTTGCGTCGAATATCCCCAAGAAAGATTATCGTGTTTAAAAGGCAACCTGCTGCTATGTGAGGTACACCATGCTGAGCATATGAGAGTAAAGCTTGTTTATATATATATATATATATATATATATATATATATATATATATATATATATATATATATATATATATATATATATATATATATATATATATATATATACGAGAAAGCAAGCAGTTCCTTAATAGCTTTACGTTTCGGCCATGGCACGGCCGAAAGGTAAATCTATAAGGGAACTGCTTGCTTTCTCGTACGTGTAGCAGCTTCTTTTCTTATACGTACCAGAACCACTGAACTTTCCCAATAAAAAAAATTATATATATATATATATATATATATATATATATATATATATATATATATATATATATATATATATATATATATATAAACACGGCACCATCACTCTGATGCATTAACACCTATCTATGCTAGGACAGACACATATAAGTTTTCCTTTTTTCCACGGACTATTTCAGAATGGAATTCTTTGTCCGCACCATACAACTTGTGACGATGGGTGACATGTACTTTTCTGTACCTTTTTTTATGTGCATACTATCACAATTTTGTTAAGTTCTTTTGAATATGTTAATATGGGCAATTATATATTAGTGTATATATATATATATATATATATATATATATATATATAAGTGTGTGTGTGTGTATATGTATATATATGTGTGTATGTATGTATGTGTGTATATGTGTGTATATTGTGTATATATATGTGTGTATATATAGAGTATGTGTATGTATATGGATATAGATTTGTATGTTTATTTGTGTATGTATATACATATGTATGCTTTAGTTTTGTGTACAATTATGTATGCCCGTCCTGCAAGGACCACGTCGTGGTCTGCAGTATGTTCTAAATAAAAATAAAAAAAATATATCAGTAGGCGTTTTTTTAATGTACTAGTACCACCTGAGTACCATTACTAAAGCACTTCCCTTTGGTCATCCGAAGTCGTTGTTCAGTACTCGTTTAATGCTCTGAAATAAATGGTACGTGTTCTGTAGGCGCTATCAAGTACAAATGAAACAGGACGGGGTATCACGCTCACGCGCGAAATATGCATTCTTCTTCTAAGCGGAGTACGTGTTACGATCCTTGACCGCGGCACAGTTGGCGCGAACTAAACCTGTGCGGCGGACACATGTGTAACCGCATGACGGAAGCCAAATGGCCTTTGAGTGCACGTCACTTAATGCGGATGCACGTGCGTCGACGCTGCGCAAGGCAGAGATTCTTTTGTCTGGTCGTTTCGGGACCAGCAATGACGTTTAAGTTCGTCGTGATAGCAGCTTATCCACGATTCCCTCATCGTGTCTGGTACTGGTGCGTTCGTGTGTGTACATATACGCGAGAGACAAGAGCCGCCTAGAGAGTTATTTCACTCATGCAGCACACCCAGACACGCGCCAAACTCAGCCGACATTAACAACAACAGCTGTTCGGGAACGACGAACCTCACCCAGCAGCCGCGACAGGCGCGCGGCGAATCGGCGCATTTCTGCGCTCGACAACACGTGGAAAAGTTAGCGCGGGCCGAGTCGTGGAATACATCTGGGGAAGGTCCTGTGGTCCCTTGGGTTCGTACACTTCTCCGCTTTCGTCGGTTTCATTAGGGAGCAGAATATACCAGCAGCACCCGGCACTCAACAAGACTAACACGCATACATCTGAAGGTATGAAAGGGAAAATGGGAGTCCGTCTATGAATACCTGGAACGTTAAAAAAATTGATACGGGCTTGCAGGAACGAAAACATCGAAGCGGAAGTGCTTTTTTTGTTAAATGTTTACCTCGGAAACTTTATTTCTCGGGAATAGGTGCAAACACTCCTGTTATATAACTTCGTGCAACTTTTAAAGTGGGGCTATGCTGCTGCTTAACTTAAACTCGCTCCAACTTGAGGATAAATATTCAACCATTTGTCATTGCTTAACTATATAAGCTCACTGACTAAAGGCGGGGGTGTAGATATCCTTCTCGAGTGTGTCACTTTTGTTTGTTTTTGACGCCTTCAAACGTAATGTTCAGTATAGAGCACCAACTCGCCCAAGTTATCATCATCTTTTGGGCATGTTGGTGGTCCACATCTGCGTGCTTTTTGCTTGTTTTTTTTTGTTTTGAGAAGTTGTTCGCGGATAAAGCCTTCGGAGATTCATCTGCGGGTGCCTAGATAAAATGCTACATATATAAGATTCTGCTCTTCGGGTTCCCCATTATGCTCGCGCTTCGCTGGATGGGATCATTGTTTCATCAAAGAGTTCGTTTTCACAGAAATTCCGGCGTCGGCGTTAGTATCGGCGTCATTGGTTGTGAGCGAAAATTCATCATCCCCTGTGTGATTGAATAATCGAGAAAGATGCAAATAAGATAAGTAAAATGATGCGAAATCCTGGAGCAGAGTGGGGATCGACCCCGGTTTGTTTGCGTGTTGTTGCGTGGCAAGCGGATGTTGTACCACACGGCCAAGCATCTGCTGCCGTGAAAGTGGCTTTCATGCTTCACAAACGCACGCGTCCGGTATGCATGCTTCACAATGAAACATGAAATATAGCAGTGATAAGGCATGGTAAAAACATCCATTGCCAACGGGCGTCAGAATATGTGATTATCACAATGAATTCGTGGTTGAAAGCTAGTACCCCACTACAAAAGGCACGCACGCTACTGCGCCTATTTTCTTAAAGCCACGTAGTGGGGGCATAGAACATTCGAAAAAGTTTTATGCACAAAGTTTTATGCACATAGCGACATCTTGTTCCTAGTACGCACTAGGAACAAGATGTCGCTATCACGTTGAACTCCTAAGGGCGAAGCTTGAGGGTCCCCTAATTTTTTTGTTTGTCTGTTTGTTTTGAATCTAGTGTAGCCTTTAAGCATTAACAGGAGTAATTTTCGTTGCTTCGATGTCTGCGCTACCGCTTGCAGGGAAGTCAAAGCGTTATGACGTAGCATATTCCACTTTTGTCATTTTAAGTATGTCCGGCTTAGTTTTAGCAAGGTCTTTCGCTTATCTAGTTTAGGATTGCGTATAGTCGTTTGGACATTGCTACTAAGAAAGGAAGGAAAGTAACGTTATTTTTGTCCTGCAGAACGCTACTGGGTCACGCACCGGGCTCAGTCCTACTATATTACGTCAATTTTTTTTTTGTAGTTCCACTTCTCATAGGTCATCCCTACGAGCGACTTGCTGTTTGTGGTATATCGATGAGAGGAAACAAACAGACCAGAGTGCAACGAAAAATTGCTCCATACACGCAGCCCGAAATTTTTTTCTCTTTTCGCGTTGAGTGGTTATTACTGCAACATTCTGTGATACCTTACCATTCACCCGATATGGCATAAACCATACTCTCGCTTTTTTTAACAGCAGCTTTTTTTAATATACGTAAGCAGTTATTTAGGCCCCGCCGCGGTGGTCTAGTGGCTAAGGTACTCGGCTGCTGACCAGCAGGTCGCGGGTTCAAATCCCGGCTGCGGCGGCTGCATTTCCGATAGAGGCGTAAATGCTGTAGGTACATGTGCTCAGATTTGGGTGCACGTTAAAGAACCCCAGGTGGTCGAATTTTCCGGAGCCCTCCACAACGGCGTCTCTCATAATTATATGGTGGTTTTGGGAGGTTAAACCCCACATATGAATCAATCAGCAGTTATTTAGGACGCATACATACAGAGAGTATGCACTGACGTCAATTCGGCAGCCATTTCGTAGTACAGAATGCACAGAGAAAGGCACGCTTTCTTATTTTAATCTGCCTGTTTTCAGCAGAGCTGGAAGCTATGAATTTTACATCAAAATTGCGCGTGATGACGTCACGAGAATGCCCCCTATATAAGCTATCCGCCATATTCCAGAACGTTCCTTCACTCAATGCTTGACTATGACTTGAAAAAGTCGATGGGAGCGCCGTCTCTATGAAGCCCAAGTCACTGCGTATCGGCAATATCCTGCAGCAATTTTCGAGAAGCACAGCGCCAATTTTAGTCGAGCAGTGGCGCAGTGCTCAACTCAGTCAAGTGAAGGACGGAATTCGAGTCGAGGAGCGTTTCTGAATACGGGGGTATGTCTGTGGAGGGCGTTTGTGAATTTATGATACATGTATATGCTCTCGAGCAATACGAAAGCCACATTAAGCGTTTCAGGTGGCAGAGCAGGAGGCAAGTAAAATGTCCCGCTGCTACGCTCAAAGACGCGGGTTCAATTCCCAGCAGCACTGGCCGCATTTAGATGAGAGCAAATTGCAAAGCCGCCAGTGTACTTAGATATACGTGCTAAAAAAGAATCCCGCGTCGTCACAGTTAATCTTGAGTTCCATTCTACGGCGTGCATCAAAATCACATCGTGGTTTTTGCGCAGAAAACCCCGAAAAGGGTTATGAATGTTGTCACGAGGTCGTCACGTTGACAAAAGCAGCAACCAGCATAATAATGCGTAATATTCATATTCCATTCTCACAGGCAGTCTGGGCTTGAGAACCGTTCTTGTACTGAGGTAGATACGGCACACGACTTTCTTACAGCCATGTTTTGTCGGTACACTTAGCATAAGTTTGCACACTGCCTAAATAAAAAAGAGCTACATTATTGTATTTTTCAAAAGTTGTGCTGTTCAAACTCCTGTTGAAAATGTTTCTCCCGATTAATTAAGTGGTAATCGGCAATCAGAATCGCGCAACAGTGGCTGGACATTGCTTTTGTTACTTTAACAATGGCGCTATGACTGACCGAAATACAAAGCGGCTTTCGAGCAATGCTACTATTCACAAATAACCGTTATTTTGCAAATAAGCGAGCGTTATTCGAATAGCAGCTTCGCCGACAGCTCAAACAAAAGGCGGTGTGCTCGTTTCAAACAGCTGCCACGTGGAAACACCTGCCGTTCAGCAGAATACTTTTCATTTCACACCGGTACTCTGCTTGATGTAGAGTCTCATGACTCTCTGATTGACTCTGTTTTTTTTATATTTCCTTTCGTTTTGCCCCTCTACTCCAGAATATATACGGATATTCACAAGAGGTTATTCATTCGAATTTTCACATTACTTCAACTCTCGCTCTTTTTTTCAGCACAATAAGCTTGAATTACCTTGAGTGTGCGGTTTTATCTCAACACCAAGAGTACCAATACAATCTAAAAATACTTTTGCTGTAATGCATAAAGAGCATAAAATTGACTGTGTATATAATAACGTCATAAATTATACTTGGCACCGAAACGCGATGTGCTTGGCGTGAAATTTTTCCCATCTATTTTATCAAATGATTGTAGGAGATGGACACTCGCTTTTTCTTCCAAGCACTGCTGCTTTTGTGTGTTTCGTAGAAATGCTATGGTTTTGCAATAAACTAAAAAAACAATAACTATAGGCCATATATAAATGCCGACATCTATCAGTTGAAATGATTAGCCCCATCATGTTGGTCTTGTGGCTAAGGTGTTCGGCTGCTGACCCGCAGGTCGTGGGATGTAATCTCGGCGTTGGCGGCTGCATTTCAGATGGAGGCGGAAATGTTGTAGGCCCGTGTGCTAAAATTTGGGTGCACGTTAAAGAACCCCAGGTGGTCGAGATTTCCGGAGCCCTCCACTACGGCGTCTTTTATGATCATATGGTGCTTTTTCGACGTTAAATTCCACATATCAATCAGTTCAAATAATACTTTTTTGTTCGCGCCAAGCGTTTATTCTACAAATTATTTAGTTTATTCCATGTTGCTTCGTTTTATCGCGAAGGTGCTGTGCACTTACTAAGCCTGCCGGGGTTTCGCATCTAAGGTATGTCGAAACCAGCGTGTATACCGAGTCAACCTTTTTCAGAATTTTCTTACACCGGAGCGTTTGGATGTTGACAGTGAAACTGCGGAAAGAGTTCTCAAAATAAGCCGATGGGGAAATTGTGTAGTCTGGTGTTTTGTTGAAACCGGGTGAACGAAGTTCAGTAGGCGAACACCTGTGTGCTACCACGTGTTCGTGGCAAATGCCATGTATGGCTTGCGTGTAGGAAACGTGGAGAATGAAACAGATAAGTACAATTGAGCACATTTTGAACCTTTGTTACGGACTAGTGCGATTTGAAATTTATCTTTTAGGTTGCGTCTAACGGAAATCTTCGCGAAACTTCATTATTTTGGACTACGCTTGGAGAATTTCTTCATACGAGATTTCTCAAGGTGGATCACCCGTGAATAACAGTTTGATAAATCATTATCATTGAAAGATAGATTTGTTTATTTATTTATTATTATGTGGGGTTTAACGCCCCAAAACCAATATGATTATGAGAGATGACGTACTGGAGGGCTCCGGAAATTTTGACCCCCTGGGGTTCTTTAACGTGCACTCATATCTGGGCACACGGGCCTATAAATCATTATCGTGGTGCTTTACTGCGGTCTTAAGGCACCGACGTTATTGCCTGCAAATGTAGTGTTAAAATGCTTCTATGAGGTCCTCTTCTTACTTAGTGCTTTGGCAAAACAGAGAACATTAAAGAGTGCAAGCAATATTGCTTTTACACCTCAAATGGTGTTTGTGCAGTCAAAACTTGCAATTTTTTTTCCTTTATTTGACGGACACCTATCAG